AAATGATTGCATCTTTAATTTTGTTGTACTATGTACAATGACAATAAAGTTGTTTATTATTATTATTATTATTATTATTATTATTATTATTATTATTATTATTATTATTATTATTATTATTATTATTATTATTATTATTATTATTATTATTTTGTCTTCAGACCAGACTCTTACCCTTCTTGTTGTAGTAGACAATTCAATTGAACCACATTTAAAGAGGTTCTACCATTATCTCATCTAACTTGACCCCATGTTTAAAGCTCTTGATTGTAGGCAGGGATCTTGCCTTCCATTCCTACACAAACCAACCTCTGACTCAACCCCTGACTGTGTAATCACGTCACGTGCTTAAGCTAATTAAGGAGATGCTATCCTAGGGTAGTTATCCTTTAGAAAGGGCCTTCCATGCTGGCTGTTACAATGTTTGGTACGAACATCAGTTGCGTGTTCTTTCCACAGGCATTTCTGTAATTAAGTGTGGTTGTGGTGTTGTTTATTAACAAATTTGTACTGCAGAAGCCAATAGAAAAGTTGAACAAACATGGATCTGTTGAGCCAGTAGGATTTCATCCCCCCCCCCCATGGGGGCAGCTTTCAGGGCCCTCAATCCACAACTGGCGAGCAGGGGGAGCTCCACCACCGAAGAGCCCCATCACGCCCGACATGCCCGGTGCAATGACATCACCCAAAGGTGACATCATTGCACTGGACACGTCGTGTGGTGGACACTCTAGCATTTGGGTAAAAACTCTATGGTAACCAACATAATAGCTCAGACTAGCCCGATCTTGTTAGAACTTGGAAGCTAAGCAGGGCTGGCCATGGTTACTACCTGGTTGGGAGACTCCTATGGAAGACTGGGGTTGCTATGCCGAGGAAACCACCTCTGATCGTCTCTTGGTTTAAAAATCCCATGGTCCTGGGGTCACCATGAGTTGGCTGAGACTTAATGGTGCACAGTTATTATTGTTCCTGCTGTTTTGCAGAGGTGATATTACTTAGACATCTGCAAAGATTCCTTCTTCAGGAGGAGTGGGAGGCTCTGGGGATCATTGCTCAAGTCTTTTTTTACCATTACAGTTACTTTAGTTTTTGCACTCTAATAAAATCCATAATTATGGACATCTGAAGGTGCCAAATGATTGGACCCACTAGCCCAGTATTTGCCTACTGTGATTGGCTCTTCAGGGCCTCAGCCTGGGCTGTAGCCCAGTGGTAGAGCATCTGCTTGGCATGCAGAAGATCCCAGGTTCAATCCCCAGCACCTCCATTTAAAAGGATGAGGCAGTAGGTGATGTGAAAGACCTCTGCCTGAGATCCAGGAGAGCTGCTGCCAGTCTGAGTAGACAATACTGATCTTGATAGACGGGTGTCCTGATTCAGTATTACACAGCTTCAAGGTTTCAGCTGTTAATTGATATCCTTTAACTGGTGCTACCAAGGATTGGATGTAGAGCCTTCAATGTGCAAAAACATGTGCTCTGTCATTGGGCCAAAGCTTCTCTTAAGCATACATCAGGGCAGGGGTCATTTCGTAGAAAAAGAGGTGCAGGAGCTCATTAGCATAACTCATTTGCATATGCCACACCCCCTGACCTCACTGGAAGTGTGTCAGAAGGCAACACCCACCGCTCAGGCTCCACTGGACTGTTTTGGATTGCTAGCTATTGTGGGGGGGGGGGGGGAATGGGAAGATTTGCCTCGCAGAAGAGATTGGATTTATTCCCCGCCCTTCACTTGGAGTCTCAGAGCGGCTTACAAACTCCTTTCCCTTCCCCTCCCCACAACAGACACCCCGTGAGGTGGGTGGGGCTGAGAGAACTCTGACACAAACTGCTCTTTTTCAAGGACAGCTGTGCCAGAGCTTGTGACTGACCCAAGGTCACATCAGCAGGTGCAAGTGGAGGAGTGGGGAATCAAACCCGGCTCTCCCAGATTAGAGTCCGCACTCTTAACCACTACACCAAACTAGCTCTCTACACCAAACTGGCTCCTCCTCGCAGAGGAGGGAGAGCCTGTACCTAGATAAGACTTGGTCGTAAAGGTGCCACTGGACTGTTTTGGGCTGGGGGGTGGGCGGGCTCTGCAGCTTACCTGGCTGCTTCTTGCTCTGACTGAGGGCTGCTGGGAGCAGGGGGTGGGGCTTGTTGCGTGTGCCCACCCCCTGGGCTCTTTACTGCTGGAGCTCTGCTCCTGCAGGAAATGACCCCTGCATCAGGGGGAAAATACATATTAAACTAGAAGCCATAAACAAGAGCCAAACAGGCTCAATGTATTAAAAAGTCATCGTTTTCGAAAGCAAAACAAATGAAAAGCCACCAAATGAATCACTCAGTTCCTGCCTCAGGTATTGCCAGTCAACAGATCTGATAATGAGAGGGTTAAGATCACACATGGCCATCATCATCCAACTTGTCAGTTAACACCACAAGTTGTTTAAGAAATAAATTGACTTCTTCAGGATGGTTCTGTCTTCTCTTTAAAAGGACGTCCCACCCTCACATATGTGCACACTGTGGAAAGTTAACCTACCTCACAGGTTTTTGAGAAGATAAAATGGAGGACAGTAGAATGATGTAGGTTGAATGATGTCGATTGAAGGTCAAAGAAGACGGGGATGGCAAAGGATGAGATGGTTAGACAGTGTTGTCGATGCAACGAACATGTAATTAAGCAAACTCCGGAGCAGTATGGAAGACAGGAGGGCCTGGCGTGATGTGGTCCATGGGGTCGCGAAGAGTCAGACTCAGACTGTGCGACTGAACAACAACAAAGAATGATGTAAGCCACTTTGGGGATGAAAGGGGGGGTATAAATTAAGTAAATACATTAATCACCACTTGGTCAACAGTTGCCTGCATGAACCTCGAGGAGGGTTTCTTTTGCCACAGACGAATGGTGAAGGAGGATTTCAGGATGGAAAACGTCTGAGAAGTCTTCTCACGCATAGCTTTTTTTTTGGTATCAATTCACCAACAGGAAATGTTGAAGTGCAGCAAGAATTCAGAAGGCACAGCAGAGCTGGAAGAAGCGCTTGCCACGGTGCTTGACATTATCAAATCAGCTAATGACTCGATGCACCAGATAGCAATTACGGGCTACGAGGTACGCATTTAAGCAAGTCTCGTACAAACCAGTGTTGTCTTCAAAGCTTATTAGGGATTCCTCGATTACAAGCTAATCAGCAGCAGTGGGCAAGTTCCCAGAAAGACAGTTTTTTCAATAGTGCCACCCTTCGCCAAGCACATATTGGAGTACTGCTTTCTCTGTTCATGTAGGAAGGCGGTGAAGCTTGGGTGTTTCCCAATGTGAACCAAAGATACAGGGTGATTTCCCACAAGCGCTGCTCCGCGCTCACTCCTCCCTTTTGCCCCGATGGTACGTGTCAATTTCACAGAAGCTGCTGCGCGGCCGCCTTTTGCCCCGCAGCTTCGTGCGAGTTTCCCCATGTCTACCCAATCCTCAAAAAACAGGATTGAGTCTACTCAGTCCTCAAAAAACAGGATTGAGTAGACGTGGGGGAAATACACGAAGTTGCGGGGCAAAATGCAGTCGCGCAGCAGCTTGTGTGAAATTGACACGTACCATCGGGGCAAAAGGGAGGAGTGAGCGCGGAGCAGCGCTTGTGGGAAATCACCCACAATCTAGAACACACTGTCTAATTCTTTAATAGGTGGGAAAGTTCCTCTGAATGTAGGAAGGCTGAGAAATAAGGTTCACATCAAGAGACTTAGGGGTGCAGGAGGAGGTGGGTAGGGTTCATGGAATTTTTAAAAATCCCTTTCCCCCCTCAGAATTGCTTCCCCTTCCCACTTTCACACCAAGGCAAACGGAATAGCATGCCCTTCATATCCCTCAGGGCAACTCAGTCTGGTTTGTGAGGTACACAAACATCCCTCTGGGCCCGAGGAAAATGACGTGATTCGTTATAACATACAGAAGATGCTTATTTTAGGTCGAAAAACAAGCATCGATTTAATCCATAAGGATGCCCAACTTTTCTGTCAGAACATCCCCTCTTCTTTGCATTCTTCAGCTCCGGCAGTTAATCTTAGAAGCTCCACAGGCGGCCTCACCCCTGTGACACTTTCCCCTCAGCCCAGCTGACGTAATTCTCTCACAAGCCCATGACTCATTCACCCACTCTCAGTAGCTGGAATGTTTGCATAGATTCCATGACATCACATCAGCACCGCCACTGGGGTGGTGGTGGAAGGTCATAGACACTGACGCCTTGCTTTTAAACGATTCACAGGGTGTCCAATAATCAGTCCCCTAGTGTTAAGATGACTGATTTCCCTCCTCAGGCGATAAGGCCATTGATATTTTTGAAAAAACCAAACTATATCCCTGTCATTTCTTAATCCTATCTTGTGAACGACTGACCCAGTTTATTATACATCTGAATAGATAGATATTCTGCGTTTTTGGCGATAGACCAAGTGCTTCAGGCACTTGGGCAGTGCCAGATTAGCTGAACATTCCCCTGACGCCTGATGAAGCAACTAGGAAATGACTGTGATCAAAGGTACAGCTCTTAAAACAGCTAGAAAAGGGCTTAGCAAAGACTCCCAAAGACAAACACTGGGGCAAAGAATCACACCTAAGATCGGCGACATGAAGCGGAATGGTGATTTGAGGCAATGAGACCTAGAACCTCACTTCCTTCCGCTTTCCTCTCCTCTCCCTGTCTCTAGGGTGACGTACACGAGCTCGGGAAGTTGCTCCTGCAGGGCTCGTTCAATGTTTGGACGGATCACAAAAAGGGCCACAACAAGGTCAAAGATTTGGCCAGGTTCAAGCCGATGCAGAGGCACCTCTTCCTCTACGCAAAAATCCTGCTCTTCTGCAAGAAGCGAGAAGAAAATACGGACGGGCACGAGAAGTCTCCCTCGTACAGCTTTAAAAATTCCTTAAAGGTAAGCGGCTTGTTACAGGGAGTTTCCTCGGCTTTGCATGCAGAAGGTCCCTTGTTCAACACGCGAAGCTGCCTTATACTGAATCAGACGTTTGGTCCGTCAAGGTCTGTATTGTCTACTCGGACTGGCAGCAGCTCTCCAGGGTCTCAAGCAGAGGTCTTTCTCGTCACTTACTGCCTGGTCTTTTTAACCAGAGATGCCAGGGATTGAACCTGGGACCCTCTGCATGCAAAGCAGAGGCTCTACCACTGAGCCATGGCCCCTCCCCACAAGGATCTCATTTATTTACATATGTCATACAGGGCTATTTTGGGGCAGGAACGCACAGGAATGGAGTTCTGGCTGGCTCCTGAGTTGGCCACGCCCAACACGAACTCATTAGCATAATAGGCCACACCCAACAGCAGAAACTCATTAGGATTGGCTACATTAGGGGTGTGTGGCCTAACATGCAAAGAAGTTCCTGCTACAAAAAAAGCCCAGGGTTTTGACAACAAAGTAAACAGAATAAGAAGCAAAAGGTGGGTGTGTGGCTGATTCAATCTGCTGGGAGATATGCCGGACATAAACCAGTGTAGTATCGAATTGACCACTAGAGGGAGCAAAACGCATGAGGAATAGGCCCACCCCCCAAAGAGACAGGAACTTTCAAGTGAGGAAAAAGAGAATGCAGAAAAGCGCAGAGAGATCTACAGACTAGCCAATTTTAAACCACTGCCATTGCAAACTGGAATCAATTTACACTTGTTTCCTCCGTGCAGCGAGTTGCACTTAAAAACAGGTTGTCTTTCTTGGTGCCTAATAGGACAGGGACTCTGCCTCCCTCCTGTCTCCCCAGAGGAAGAATGTAGGGCACCAATAACCCTGCCTTTGTTAACTTTCTTTTGTCAGGCCCCAGGAGTCTGTCTGGCAAAGCTCTAGCACTAGACTCATTCGTGCCAATCAAGGCGGCAGAGATCACAGCACTGTGTCTTTAAACTGCGATACTCTGGTTATCTGCGGTGGCTCAAGTGGTTAAGATGCTGAACTGCAGGCTGTGGAAGGTCAGTAGTTCAGCAGTTCGAGACCCGAGTGTGCCGCATGATGGAGTGAGCTCCCGTCTCTAGTTCCAGCTCCTGCTAACCTAGCAGTTCGAAAGCAAGAAATTGCAAGCAGATAAATAGGTACCACTCTGGTGGGAAGGTAACAGCGTTCCGTGCGCCTTGGCGTCTAGTCATGCCGGCCACATGACCACAGAAACGTCTTCGGAGAGCAATGGCTCTTCGGCTTTGAAACGGAGATGAGCACAGCAACCCTAGAGTCAGACTCGACTGGCTTTCGAGCAAGGGAACCTTTACCTTTACTTTTTACTCTGGTTAAACTGCGATACAGCTAGGGAGGATTCATTTGGAGGATTATATAAATGCTGAATCAAGCAGAAGATGAGGAAATTACTTTGACTTTCTGACTCTGGGAAGATGGAACTCCTGTTGCGTCCAGCGTGATGGTGTCTCTCCCCACCACAGCCCCTACTGCAAGGGCAGTATACTCCAAATAAGCTCTGGAGAAGAATTGCATTGATGGATTCAAATGCTCCTTCTGGACTTGGGGAGGAGCTCGAAATCCAGACGTAAATAGTCTGCTTTATTTGCATCCGGATAGGATGTTAACAGGAGCTGCGGTGGCTCAAGTGGTTAAGACGCTGAACTGCAGGCTGTGGAAGGTCAGTAGTTCAGCAGTTCGAGACCCCAGGGTGCCGCATGACGGAGTGAGCTCCCGTCTCTGGTTCCAGCTCCTGCCAACCTAGCAGTTCGAAAGCAAGAAACTGCAAGTAGATAAATAGGTACCACTTCGGTGGGAAGGGAACAGCGTTCTGTGTGCCTTCGTGTTTAGTCATGCCGGCCACATGACCACGGAAAGGTCTTCGGACAGCGCTGGCTCTTCGGCTTTGAAACGGAGATGAGCACCGCAACCCTAGAGTCGGACTCAACTGGCTTTCGAGCAAGGGGAACCTTTACCTTTACCTTTTTAGGATGTTAACAAAGGAGAGCCAGTGTGGTGTAGAGAGCCAGCGTGAGGGTGTGGTGATTAAGAGCGGCGGACTCCAGTGTGGAGAACTGGATTTGATTCCCCGCTGCTCCTCCACATGAAGCTCGCTGGGTGACCTTGGGTCAGTCCACTTTCCAAAGCAGCCATTCTCTCCAGGGGAACTGTCACCGATCTGTTGGCAACTGAGCTCTTAAACTGCACCGATCACCTCCACGTCTGGACCGGGCCGTCTTACTCACAGTCGATTCCATAGGTTTTTTTTTAAAACAGGTCCAGTTCTTCAGCCGCATAATTCTATTTTTAATAGGGCTGCAAACCTCCAGAATTGCAACTAATCTCCAGGCTACAGAGGGCAGTCCCCCTGGGGGGAAACGGCAACGTCAGGGCGGAGTCTATAGCGGTACACCCTGCTGAAGCCTAGGGTTGCCAACCTCCAGGTGGTAGCTGGAGATCTCCTGGAATTCCAACTGATCCCCTGGCAACAAAGATCCGTTCCTCTCCTTTGGAGGGTGGGCTGGCTCTATGGCATTATACCCTGCTGAGGTGCCTCCCTTCCCCAAACACTGCCCCCCCCCCAGGCCCGACCTTCAAAATCTCCAAGAATTTCCCAGCCAACAGCCGGCAACTCCAATGTTCCCGCAAAGCTGTGGAGTCTTGTGAGCAAAAATTCTACTTTGTGAGCTGCTGGCATTAAAGTTGTGAGTGAGCGATTCGGCTGCTGCATCAATCAGTTTGCTCTGGAGCCATCCTTCTTGAGCTGAGACAAAAATGTGTGAGCTGGAGGCTAAAAAACTGTGAGCTAGCTCACACTGACTCAGCTTAGGGGGAACACTGCCGCCAACCTGATTTTGAAGGGTCGTTTTGGTGTTGTGTTCCCTGGTTTGAGGGTGGCGTGTGGAAGAGAGGTTGGGCCACACGCCAGAGAAAATGTATCTCAGGAACTGAGGACCGGAGCCTCGCTTCTGCCGGTCTGGTGTTCGTGGCCTCACGTCATCCTTCCTTGGGTAACTCCTCTAGCAATAGGGGAGTGTTTGGTTTTTAAATCGTTTCTCAGCCACGGCAGAAGGATTTCCAGATTCACAAAGCGGTCCGACTTGTTGCACGGAGACCCCGAGGCGTGAGATAAGCAGCGCGGTGTCATTTTCGTGGGAATGTTCAGGCCTTCTCAGGACGAGAAGGCGGGAGAGGCTGCGGGCGCTGTTTGGAGGTGGCATTTAGAAAACATTTTTTTTAAAAAAAGGGTTCTCTCTGCGTTTGTGTGTTGCCTGTTTCTCCAAGCCCTGCTCAAACACATCCCTGCCCATTTTAATCTAGGGAAATATTTGCCCGACAACAGGGGGGGGGGCATAGCTTCGCAGCGGAACCACCAGCTGTGGTTCACATGATGAGTTGCTTAGGGGATTCCAGCCGCTACCACTGAACTGGGGAGCCCCCCTCCCTGGGGTTACCAACTCTAGGCTGGAAAATTCCTGGAGACTTGGGAGTGGAGACTGGGCAGGGCAGGGTTTGAGGACAGCAGGGACCTCAGTGAGGTAAAATGCCACAGAGTCCACCCTCCATGGCAGCGGACTTCTCCAGGGGGACGGATCTATGTTGTCTGGAGATCAGCCGTAATTCTGGAAGATCTCCAGGTCCCACCTGGAGATTGGCAACCCCTACCCCTTTCCACCTTCTGGGCAGGAAAACGCCTGGAGACTTTGGGGGTGGAGCTCTGGGGAGGGCGGGGTTTGGGGTTTGGGATCCCAACTCACCTCCAGCCAGTAAAGATCAGTTTCCCCCGGAGAAAATGGCTGCTTTGAAGGGTGGACTCTGCGGCATCATTACCCTGCTATGGTCCCTTCCCTCCCATTATTAAAGTATTATTTATTAATTTCGGCTTGTATTCCGCCCTCCCTGCAAGTGGGCTCAGAGCGTGTGATGACAGTAGGGGGGTTAAAGCATTTCGCAAGAAGAGTTAAGACGTTTCATAATAAATATTTCGTCATAAATAGTTAAAACAGATTAAAACAGAGCTGTAAACTAAAACAGATGGGATGGCAGTGTGGTATAGTAAACTGGAGCTGTAGACCAGACCAATGGCTCCCTCTAATCTGTGGAGTCTTGTGAGCAAAAATTCTACTTTGTGAGCTACTGGCATTAGGAGGAGGAGGAGATTGGATTTCACTCGGATTTCACTCGGAGCGGCTTACAAACTCCTTTCCCTTCCCCTCCCCACAACAGACACCCTGTGAGGCAGGTGGGGCTGAGAGAGCTCTGACAGAAACTGTTCTTTTTCAGGAACAGCTCTGACAGAACTATGGCTTGCCCAAGGTCATCCAGCAGCTGCAAGTGGAAGAGTGGGGAATCAAACCCAGCTCTCCCAGATTAGAGTCCGCACACTTAACCACTACACCAAACTACACGACACCAAACCACTACACCAAAGTTGTGAATGAGCTATTTGGCTACCGCCTACATTAGTTTGCTCTGGAGCCATCCTTCCTGAGCTAAGACAAAAATGAGTGAGCCGGAGGCTAAAAACAGTGAGCTAGCTCACACTAACTCAGCTTAGAGGGAACACTGCTTGGGAGGCCTTCACCTAATGGGCCGTTTGAAGGTGGAAGGTATCACCTTCCTCTCCCAGGCGCCACCCCCAAATCTCCAGGTATTTCCCAACCCAGAGTTGGAAACTCCACTGCGCAGTGACTGGAATCCTACTGTATGGCCCACTCACAATGAGGCCTCAAGTTCAGTTCCGAGCATCTCCAGTGAAAAGAGTCTCAGAACACGGTCTCAGATGCTTCATACATCGCATCTTTTAGGAATTTATGGCTACAGCCAGGGCTATTTTTGGGCAGGAACGCACAGGAACAGAGTTCCGGCTGGCTCCCAAGTTGGCCACACCCAGCAGAAACTCATTAGCATAATAGGCCACACCCAACAGCAGAAACTCATTCGGATTGGCTACAATTAGGGGTGTGTGGCCTAACATGCAAAAAGCCCTGGGGTTTGACAACAAACAAGGTAAAGAGAATAAGAAGCAAAAGGTGGGTGTGGCTGGATGACCACACTTCTGGTAACATGGGGTGTGGCCTAATATGCAAATGAGCTGTGCTGTCAGGGGTGTGGCCTAATATGCAAATGAGTTCCTGCTGTGGGTATGTCCTGTTATGCTAATGAGTCCCTGCTGGGCTTTTTCTACAAAAAAAGCCCTGGCTACAGCTATGTGGCTGCCCTGACAAAGCAAGCCCCACGTGTGTTGTCCAGGAATCTGGGATCGGCTAGCAAGACTCCAGTGTGGTCTGTGAAGCAGCTCTGAGACCCCAGAGAGCTTTTGCCAGTTGGAAATGGACCGATCCCGACACACAACAGTTCTCCTTCAAAAGAAGGCATCTTCTTATATCTTCAATATACAAGCAAAGTCTTCTTGGCATCGTCGTGGTATCCAGCGCAGTCCTGCGGGGCGGGCAAGTTCTATTGGGAAACATCTCTTGGAGACCAGTTGTAAAAGCGGGAGGTCTCCAGGCCCCACCTGGAGACTGGCAACCCTACTTCTGGGTAGGGTTGCCAACCTCCACTTGGGGCCTGGAGGTCTCCTGGAATTGCAACTCACCTCCAGCCAATAAAGACCAGTCCCCCTGCTTCTGTCGGCCATCCCATCATATGTCATCCGATCAGGGGTCATTTCGTAGAAAGAGAGGTGCACGAGCTCATTAGCATAACTCATTAGCATAACTTATTTGCATACGCCACATCCCCTGACATCATCGGAAGTGTGTCAGGAGGCAACACCCACCGCTCAGGCTCCACTGGACTGTTTTGGATTGCTAGCTATTGGGGTGGGGGGACATGCAGATCTGTCCTCGCGGAGGAGGGAGAGCTTGTACCTGAATAAAGCTTGATCTTAAAGGTGCCACTGGACTGTTTTGGCCCCGGGGGGGCGGGGGGGGAGCTCTGCAAATGACCTGGCTGCTTCTTGCCCTGACTGAGGGCTGCTGGGAGCAGGGGGTGGGGCTTGTTGCATGTGCCCGCCCCCTGGGCTCTTTACTGCCGGAGCTCCGCTCCTGTGCGCTCCTGCAGGAAATGACCCCTGCATCCGATCATATATCGTCTGCGGGATCTACTAGAGTTCCACTCGGCGTGCAAGACAGAGCTGTTCCACCGGACCTTTGGGTTGAGGCGGCGGATGCCCCTCCTCTCTCATGGCCAATCTCCCATCAGTAGCCTGGGGTGCCCACTGTTGCACCTTAGTTAACCTGACTGACATCTGATCTGATCTGTTTACATGGTATTTATGATTCTGTTCTGTTTTTAAAATGTTATTTTAAAGTGTTTTAACTGTGTTATAGGGGCTGCGGTGGCTCAGAGGTTAAGATGCTGAGCTGCCAACCGGAAGGTCTGTCGTTTGGCAGTTCGAGACCCAGGTGCCGCATGACGGAGTGAGCTCCGGTCTCTGGCCCCAGCTCCTGCCAACCTAGCAGTTCAAAAGCAAGAAATTGCAAGTAGATAAATAGGTACCACTTCGGTGGGAAGGTAACAGCGTTCCATGCACCTCAGTGTTTAGTTATGCTGGCCACATGACCACAGAAATGTCTTCGGACAGCGCTGGCTCTTCGGCTTGGAAACGGAGATGAATACCGCCCCCTAGAATCCAATTAGACTGGCTTTCGAGCAGGGGAAACCTTTACCTTTACTAACTGTGTTATATTAAGTGGTGATGTAAATCGCCCTCAGGGAGGGCGGTATATAAATCAAATAAATAAATAAATCTTCTGCCTAAGGCTCTGTAGTCTAGGGTTGCCAACTCTGGGCTGGGAAATTCCTGGAGATTCGGGGGTGGAGCCTGCCGAGGGGGCTTTAGGGCAGGGAGGGTCCTCAGTGGGGTATAGAGGCATACAGCCCACCCTCCAAAGCTGCCATTTTCTCTGTTGTCTGGAGATGAGTGGTGATTCCCGGATATCTTCAGGTTCTACCTGCAAATTGGCAACCCTAACTATAGACACCTTTGACTGAGGAAATGAGGCTGATTTGTCTGTTTAAGAAATAAATGTGTGACTTAGTGAGTGAGACTTCTGATCTGTCACTCCGGAGGCAGAGATTTAGCTACGCTTTGGTCCGTTGAATGCACAGCCCGACACAGAGCAGAGAGTCGCCTCATGTATGTTTTTTTTGTGAAAAAGGATTTTTAACATGTGACATGACAGCTGTCGTTCAGAAAATGAGTGGGCATGTTGTGGAAATTATCATTTGACAGCAGTGGCCATCTGACAGGAATGTTGATTGTGAGAGGGAGGGTAGGAAGGGTTGCCTCAGTGCTTGGTTCTCGTGGCCCTTTCTTACACGCTCAGGGAAATGCTGGTTGCCACTTTGGGGTCAGGAAGCAATTTTTCTCCAGGCCAGTTGGGCTGGAGATCCTGGAGGTTTTTTGTCATCTTCTGGGTGTGGAACAGCGGTCACTGGGTGTGTGGAGGGGGAGGTATTTGTGAATTTCCTGCACTGTGCAGGGGGTTGGACTAGATGACCCTGAAGGTCCCTTCCAACTCTATGATTCTATGATTTCTTAAAGGTGGAGATCCTTGGTGAAATTTCCATCAGATTCCAGCTATTCCACGCTATTGTGTTGCCAATTTGCCATTCTTACTATTTCTAACATTCTATGGTCCCGGAATGCCATTGTGCATGCGTATGATGTTCAGCATCACACTGCATCATAGGCTTTATGTTCGGTAGTTGCTGCGTACAAAGCATGAAGACGTCTGTGTGTGCAGCAGCTGTCGCCCAGACACTCTTGATGCAGTGCAACTCAGGGCAAAGTACAAATGGGACTCTTATTTCCTGTCCCTCAGATTCTGTAACTTCTTTGCCGACTTTCCATTCTTATTTCCAGCTCTTACCTCCCTGCCTATTTCATACTCATACCTTCCCTATTTTCCTGCCAATAGGACACTATCTCCTCCTGTGCTTAGACGTTTTCCCCCTTTAAATTACCTTTTTTTATTTAACAGAACTTTTGCTTATTTAACAGAAACAGTACTGTTTGTTAACATTCCGTGGCGTCACAGCTTCTGAAGCTGTAATCAAGGGGTGTGGCATTCACAGGCAGGCAACCGATTGGTTAATTTATAAACTGGGATTAGGGCACTTGGTTCCCACGGGCAGCAGGGCAGGGCTACCATGCCAGCCGAAAAGTTGGCACTTTTTAATTTAAGAAATGAATCACTGTGTTTTGGTGATTTCATGTGCTTCGTTACACCGTCTCGAAATAATGGGTTGCACTGTGAGGGTAAAACGTCTTTGTTTCTTTTCTGTTTCCTTTAAACAGATGAGCACTGTCGGTATTACTGAAAACGTCAAAGGGGATAACAAGAAATTCGAGATCTGGTACAATGGCAGAGAAGAAGTCTATATTATTCAGGTGCTATGCTTTCGCCTTCATTTTCAGCTGCCTTAACTCTGGCGTCAGTTTTAATTTTATGAGTTTCATTAGTGTCACGGTGTGGGGGAATACAGGGGCAATGAAACTTCCCAGGGAAAGATCTCTTGGTCCCTGTTAAATAGTGGATTCCATGGATGAGCAGACCCCAAATCTAGTGATCAGCTCTACTTTATTAGTGATTTCAGCAGGTATAAGACTAAACTCCAGGGCCACAGCCCTGTTTAAATAGCATGCAGTTGCCACACGCAAACACACCCCACTCCCAACGATAGGCTATTTACATCACATTACTTCTTGACTGGTTACTTCCAGAGTCCTGGTGGGCTATTGTTCTTGGGCTTCAAGCTCAGCCCTTCTCTGGTAGAACAGTCCTGGGATGTCTCAGTCCTAATACATAACACCTCCTGAACAATTCTGCTTTATATAGTGTGCAGAATGGCAGAAGTGTGAGATCCTTCTCGACTATTGCAGGCGGGCCATTCCCGCAGGGTGGGAGTGACAGCAGAAAAAATCCAAACCACCAAGGGCGTGTGCTCGCGTGTCTCTTCTCCTTTATTCTTGCCTCACAACAATCCAGTGCAGTAGAAAGTGTTTCAGCATTTCAGAAACGAAGAAGATTTTATTCTAGATAAGCTTCCATAAATGGGAACCCACTTTGTTAGAGGTATAGGAGGCTGAGAGGCAACACTTGGCCCAAAGTCACCCAGTGAGAATCCTCGTTGAGTGATAGGACTCCCAGATTCCAGGTAGGGAGGAGCTGTGGCTCAGTGGTAGAGCGTCTGCTTGGCATGCAGAAGGTCGCCGGTTCAGTCCCCGGCAGGGGTCGTTTTATAGAAAAAGAGCTAGGGGAACTCATTAACATAACTCATTAGCATATGCCACACCCCCTGAGATCACCGGAAATGTGTCATAAGGCCACACACCCCGCCCCCAACGGTCCCGGCCGCCACCGGCCTTGCAGCTCCACTGCCGAGCCCCATGAGGGGCCCGGTGCTGGACCTGCAAGGCCGGCGGGAGTGCGAGGAAGCCCCGCAAAGGCCCTCCCTGGCCCCAGACAGGCAGGGGTGGGGAGAGGCAGGGAGGAAGCAACTTACCCTCCCTCTTCTCCTGCCTCCTCCTGGCTGAATGAGGGCCGGAAGCGGGGCGGCCAGAAGCAGGGGGCAGGGCTTCGTCATGTGCCCCACCCCCCGCACCTCACCCGGGGGACAGTCTGTGTAGACGATACTGATGACCTTGATGGACCAAGGGTCTGATTCAGTATAATAAGGCAGTTCCATGTGTACAGGCTGGAACTCCCCCTGAATTTCCAATTTGCCCTACTTGGGCAAATTAATTGAGAGGGCTTTATGGATGCCGGGCTTTATGGATGACACTTCCATGCTAGCTGGCTCTTCGGCTTGGAAACTGAGATGAGCACCACCCCCTAGAGTCGGATTCAACTAGCTTTCGAGCAAGGGAAACCTTTTTATAGATGGAACACTCTGTCTGGGGCAGTGATGCTCTGCATTCTTTGTGCTTGGGGGGGAACAGTGGGAGCAATGTTCCCTCTAAGATGTGGAATCCTGTGAGCAAAAATTCAACTTTGTGAGCTGCTGGCATTCAAGTTGTGAGCGAGCAATTTGGCTACTGCACGAATTCGTTTGCTCTGGAGCCCTCCTTCCTGAGCCAAGACAACAGTGTGTGAGCCGGAGGCTAAAAAGACTGTGAGCTGGCTCACACTAACTCAGCTTAGAGGGAACACTGAGTGGGAGGGTTTCTAGAGTTCTGGCCCTGCTGGTGGACCTCCTGACGACACCTGAGTTTTGGCCACTGTGTGACACAGAGTGTTGGACTGGATGGGCCATTGGCCTGATCCAGCATGGCTTCTCTTATGCTCTTATGGTGTTAAGGCTGAGGCAAGCCAATATGTCCCCCTATGGTTCTTTTCTCACTGGCCCCTCGCCTTGGAAGATAATTTTGTGGAAGCAGATCTTGGGGGGGGAAAGCAGGGGGGGAGACAGTGAGGCAGTTGGCCGCAGGGATTTGTAGAGTAATACCTGGAGCAAGCTTTAAAACAACACAGCTTAATCCACATAAGGACTAAAATATCTAAGGTGACTCCCTTTCCCTGGCTGTCTGCCTGATTTGCAATTTGCATTTGTTCTGTTTTTACAGGCTGCTTCTGTGGAGCTGAAAAACACCTGGGTCTCTGAAATTAGGAAAGTCCTGACGGGACAACTGGAAGCTTGCAGAGGTAATGCAGTATTAAAGGCAAAGGTTCCCTTGCTCGAAAGCCAGTCGAATCCGACTCCAGGGTTGCGGTGCTCATCTCCGTTTCAAGAGCCAGCGCTGGTCCGAAGACGTTTCCATGGCCATGTGGCCGGCATGACTAAACACCAAGGCGCACGGAATGCTGTTACCTTCCCACTGAAGTCGTACCTATTTATCTACTTGCAATTTCTTGCTTTCAAACTGCTAGATTGGCAGTAATACAGTATTAACTTGTGTTAAATTATAAGGCACAAGGCTGTGCTCAAGGGTACCTCAGGATAGCACTGTTGCTGTGTTGCAAGAAATACACAAATGACATCGTTACAGTATGAGGGAGTCTGCCTGTTGTGTCTCTGCATGGCTCATAATTGTGTAGTGGGTGGGTTATTTTGCCATGCCCTGCCCTGGATACAGGGTTGCCAGGTCCTACTTTTGATCCGGTGGGGGACTCCTGGGTCCTTCCCGGGATCTCCTGCTCTGTGTGTAAAGCCCCTGTGCAGTGATGATATCACCTGGGAGTGATGTCATTGCGTTGCCGATGTTGGGGGGGGATGATGCTCTAGCTTTTGGGCAAAACTCTATGGTTTGAGGTCAGTTTTACCATAGAGTTTTGCCCAAAACCTAGAGCGTCTCCCCCGACGTCAGTGATGTGATGATGTCATTTCTCAGTGATGTCATCACATCACAGGAGGGGCCATTTGAGGATGGATTCCGCCCCCCATCAGCCAGCTGGAAAGGGCCCTGCAAAAGTGGGGAACCCCCGCCTGGACTGGGGGTCCGGCAACCCAACCTGGATAGACCAGGGTAGCCTAGTCGCTTCAGTTTTCCAAAGGTAAACCGGGTTAGCCCTGGTTAGAACTTGTATGGGAGACCACCAAGGAAGCCCAGGGTCGGTATCCAGAGGCAAGCAATGGAAAACCATCTCTGAACGTCTCCTGCTTTGAAAACTCCATGGGGTTGCCATAAGTCAGCTCCAACTTGACAGCAAAAAAATTATTATACATTTTTGCTACAACTCTGTATTGGATGTGATTGGATCTGTCAAACGCTTCCAATGCAGAGAATGGTCTTAAAAGGGGATTAGACAGATTCATGGTCCATCAGCGGTTATGAGCCACGATGACTAAAAGGAACCTCCACAAGAAGAAGAGGAGGAGGAGGAGGAGATGGAGGTTGGATTTATACCCCGCCCTTCACTCGGAGTCTCAGAGCGGCTTACAATCTCCTTTCCCTTTCCCTCCCCACAACAGACACACTGTGAGGTAGGCAGGGCTGAGAGAGCTCTTTCCAGAACTGTCCTTGAGAGAACAGCTCTTATCAGAACTACGGCTTGCCCAAGGCCATCCAGCCAGGTGCAAGTGGAGGAGTGGGGAATCAAACCCGGTTCTCCCAGATTAGAGTCCACGCATTTAACCACTACACCAGTAAATCTCTGGAATGAAGTCTTTGGCCTCTGTTATGTATTAGGGCTGGAATATTCCAGGACTGGGTACCAGAGACTGGCTGAACTTGGAGCTCAAAAACGATAGCCCTACAGGCCTCTGGAGGGGATTAATGAGAAACCAATGTTATGTAAATAGCCTATCATTGAGCGTTGGGTGTGTTTGGGTGTGGTTTTTGCATGCTATTTAAACAGGGCTGTTGCCCTGAGGTTTCAGTCTTGTATCTGCTGAATCACTTAATACTGCTCAATGACTGTAATAAATTTACTTACTTACTTACTTAAGAACATAAGACACACCAATGTTGGATCAGGCCGAAGAAGAAGAAGAAGAGATTGGATTTATATCCCACCCTTCACTTGGAGTCTCAGAGCGGCTTACAAACTCCTTTCCCTTCCCCTCCCCACAACAGACACCCTGTGAGGTGGGTGGGGCTGAGAGAACTCTGACACAAAGTGCTCTTTTCCAAGGACAGCTGTGCCAGAGCTTGTGACTGACCCAAGGTCACATCAGCAGGCGAAAGTGGAGGAGTGGGGAATCAAACCCGGTTCTCCCAGATTAGAGTCCGCGCTCCTAAACACTACGCCAAACTGGCCCATTCAGCCCAACACTCTGTATCACACATTGGCCAGAAATACCAGGTGCCATCAGGAGGTCCACCAGTGGGGCCAGGACAGTGGAAGCCCTCCCACTGTTGCCCCCCCCCCAAAAGCACCAAGAAGACAGAGCATCCCTTGCCCCAGAGCCCCTATCTATACCTTGTGGCTAATAGCCACTGATGGACCTTTGCTCCATATAATGCTTATCTAATTCTTTTTTGAAGCCGTCCATGCTTGTAGCCGCCACCACTTCCTGTGGCAGTGAATTCCAAGTGTTAATCACTCTTTGGGTGAAGAAGTACTTCCTTTTCCTACCTGCTCTGTCCCATGCATAATCTTATAATACTTAATAAAGTAGAGCTGCTCGCTGCGATGCGTCTTGAACCCAGTGTTTAACAGCCTCTCTACCCTGTTTGCTGGTCCTCCAGGGCAACTGGTTGGCCACAGTTGTGAAACGGGATGCTGGACTCGATAGAGCACCAGTCTGATACGGCCACGCACTTCTCACGTTCTAAGTGGTGGAGTGACTTGCCTTGAAAGGGGGCTGCCCAGTATTGTGGAAGTGGGAAGTGCCCTCAAGTCGCAGCCGACTTACAGCGACCCCGCAGGGTGTTGAAGGCTAGAGGCGTTCAGAGGTGGTTTTGCCATGGCCTCCCTCTGCATAGCAACCCTGGGCTTCCCTGATGGTCTCCCATCCAAGTACTGCCCAGGGACGACCCCCCGCTCAGCTTCTGAGATCTGGGAAGACTGGGCTACCCGAAGCCACCCAAGTCCAGGCGTGGCGCTTACCACCTGTCCTCAGCATTCCAGAAGTGCCCACGGGCTCAAGAAGGTTGTAGACCCTTCCAATAAACGACGAGAATTTATCCCCTCTCTTCCTCCCCCCTCCTAGAGTCAGTTTGGTGTAGTGGTTAAGAATGCAGACTCCAATCTGGGAGAACCGGGTTTGATTCCCCCACTCCTCCACTTGCAGCTGCTGGATGACCTTGGGCAAGCCATAGTTCTCACGTTCCCTCAGAGCTGTTCTCTCAAGGACAGTTCTGGAAAGAGCTCTGTCAGCCCCGCCCACCTCACAGGGTGTCTGTTGTGGGGAGGGGAAGGGAAAGGAGCCTGTAAGCCGCTCTGAGACTCCTTGGGGTAGTGAAGGGTGGGGTATACATCCAATCGCTCCCTCTCTCCCTTCTCTTCTACTCCCAGCAAGGGAAGAGCATGCAGCGCCCTACCACGGACAGCATTGGCTTCCCCCGCAAACCGTCACCCACTGTCCAAACCTCCAGCTTTAGGGCTGGCACCGGACGCAGCTTTCACATTTCCCACCAGCAGGAGAATGTGTCAGCGAATTGAAAGGGCTTGTGCAGCCGAGAGCACCACAAGCAGGCACAACCAGCCCTGGGCCGAGAAAGGGAACGTTCTGCTTATGCAAATGCGCAGGTGCCTCCAGCCCTGTGGGTGGGTGG